TGGCAACCAGGGGAGTGTTCTCAAAGTTGAGGTTAGCGACAAAGGGTTCTTTTTTAGCGGAAAACGCGCAAACTTGTGTCTTTTTGGGGTTGAATTCGACAAGGTTTTGTCGCCCCCAGTCTGAGACATTACCCAAAAGGGTCTCAAGTTTAGATACAAGTTTGTTCCGGTACTCGAACACGCTATCCCGAGAAACATTAGCTCGGGCCGTGTACAAAGCGTCGCCCGTACTATCATCTGCATAACAATGGACGTTACTTTGATGTAACAAGTCATTGATATGCAGAAGAAAGAGAGTGGGCGACAGTACACAGCCCTGAGGGACACCAGCATTAATTGGTTTAGGGTCTGAGCATGCACCGTCAACAACGACCCTGATGCTACGACCCTCCAAAAAGCTGGCAATCCAGGCCAATAGTTTCTCGGGAAGCCCGTAGGAAGAGAGCTTCGAAAGAAGCCCTTTATGCCACACCCGATCGAAGGCCTTCGCTACGTCCAAACTGACCGCCAGGGCCTCCCCTTTGTTCTCTATTGCCTCCGCCCATCTGTGAGTGAGGTACACTAAAAGGTCACCAGCTGAGCGACGTTGACGAAATCCGTACTGGCGATCGCTAATCAGCTGGTGCTCTTCCAGGTACCTCATAAGCTGGCAATTAATGGTGGACTCCATTATCTTGGAGAACAAAGGGGTTATGGCAATAGGCCGATAGTTCGTCGGTTCCGAGCTGTTGCCTTTTTTAGGGATCGGGTGAATTAGGGCCGTCTTCCAGGATTTCGGGACAACGCCTGTGGAATAGGAGTACCGGAAAAGACGCGTCAAGACCGGTGCCAACTCAGGAGCACATGTCCTTAGCACAAGAGGAGGAATACCGTCAGGCCCACTCGACTTGTTGACATCCAGAGATAGTAGCGCCTTACGCACTGATCTCTGGATGAACTGGATCTCCGACATAGAGGTCTCACCGCCAGGGATTTTCGGCGGTGAATAACCTGTGTCATCCAGTGTCGAGTTAGATGCAAAGAGGGATACCAGAAGATCGGCTTTCTCTTTAGCAGTATGGGCCAACGAGTCGTCCTCCCTGCGCAAAGATGGTAGTGATGGGCGACAGAAATTTCCTTGGACAGCCTTGGCGAGAGACCAGAACGCGCGAGTTCCGGAAGGAAGGCGCACTAGCTTCTCGCCAATGCTGGCCACGTGTTCGGACTTTGCCTTTGCAATTACTCTTTTGAAGGACCTGGAGGCAGAGTTGTACTTCATTTTAAGCGCGCTGGAGTTATGGTCCCCCGCTACCGACGCTTCGGCCCAGGCACGGTAACATTCTCGCTTGTAGCGTAAGGCTAACTTGCAAGAACGACCGAACCAAGGCCGAGATCTACCACCGCTGGGCACCATAGTTGATGGGATAAAAAGTTCCATCCCCTGGAGTACCACATCGGCGATAGAGTCAGCAACGGCGTCGGGATTGTCCGCATCCTATCCCAATCTGCTGACCTGTAGTGCCAAACTCGACGAAGACCAATCGGTTGTGACCGAAAACGTCTGGAGATTGGCACTGTTGTCCGGATCAGGCAGTGGTCCGACGACCCTAAAGGGG